GCTACAGAGGGCTGAAAGACTAAACGTTTGTGGCGCGCCTCGATTGTTCTCAATTATATTTAGCGTAATCATTTCAAATCTAGATATAACGTTCTCTTCTGAGGGAGAAAATGTTTTCCTGGAACTTTCACAGATGTCACCGCGCGCCTTGAAGACATGCCTTTTTGGGGGCTGAGATTCTCAGGGCGGGGCTTCCCCTCCTGGAACTTTCATGCGGGCAACAGTAGTGCGCACTGTTTAAATTTTTTACTGAAGTCATCTCGTTTGGTTCTTTTTTTCATTTGTTTGGGGGGATCGTTTTTTCTTTTTTCCTGTTTTGCATTTTTTGTTTTGATTGGGGTGCTATGATTTCTACTGTCTACGTTGAGGGTTGCGGCGACCCCCAGCGTGTTGATTCAGTTCCCGCCGCTATCTTTAGTGGTGCATGTATCATCCCATGATACGTTTCTTGGAATCGAGCTTTTGCTTTTTCTCTCTCCTCGCGGATTAGTGAATACGAAGTGGCGGCTTCAAGACTGATTTTCTCCTCGGGAGGATTCTGCATATCTCCGCGGAGTTAGCCTATGGGGAATTCTTCGCGGACTTATGCTTGGTTTCGCCGAGTTGATATTTGGTTGGAGGCTGCAAAAGGTGTGCTCCTTACCTGAATTATAAAACACATTCCTGGCATTTCCGACTTTGGGGCTCCCAGACTGATGGCGGGGAGGCTTGCTGGATTGGTTCGTTAGAGGCTTCGCCTGTCCAGACGTGGTGCTTGCTGCCCGAGTGTGTAATTGTGGCAAGTTAGCCTTCGCCCGGATATTGAGCGCCCCTCTACCTACTCGAGCCGGGCCCTTATTTGGTTTTCTAGCTGTACCTCGAGAGTCAAAGCCGGCCTCGCTGCATAGCCGCGCCTGGAACAGTTGGCCGGCGCGCTTAGCCCAGGAAATAGGCTTCGTTCACGCGCGCTTGATCCTTCACTCCGTTGGACACGACGCCCTTCGGTTGAGCTGAGTTCGTTGAGGCGTCTGTCTGGGAGGAGTTTCGGTACAAATTTCAAATCGAGGCTCCGGTCCTTTGAAGGGCTGGTTTTGCCGTCTTCTCCCCGTTCTTTTCGATCCGCGTTTGGTTACGCGAATTTCCGTCGGGTGGACTCCAAATCATGCTTGGGAATTGCGCAATTTGTGATTGGCTGCGAGCATTTGTGTCAGTGTAGCCGACTTGTTTTGCTCTGCATGGCGTGACATCGTTGCAGAATTACACTTTGAGATGAGTCACGGTTGCTCCCTTTTTGGTTGCCGGGGGCTTTTGTCGGAGACCTTTCGATATGGTTGAAAGGATGGGTGGGCTGCAACCCGACGCCGACCTTGGCACTTCAAAACGAGAATGAAGGTCGTCCGTGGTACCGTTCGAATCCTATGCATTCGTAAAACTCATAGGAAGCCTTTGTCCCTCCACTGAGGGATGGGAGTATTTTGGACTTTTTTTTGAACTTTGTGGGGAGAGGAACCTTGATCTAGAACGAAGGAATGAATAGGAGCTACAGTGCATCCTCTGACTTGGTCTGATCGACGCTGAACTTCGTTTCTGGATCCTCCTCGATCCATTCCAACGACTGGGTCGAGAATCCTCGCTGGAGAGCGACGGCTCTACCGGATACTCGCAAAGCGGAGATCGTGGCTCCCACCTGCGGGTCGCACACGATGTCGCAACTGTCGATCCGGGAAAAACCTGTTCTTTTCTTTGTTGAATCATTGTTCTCCTTTTACAACAGTTTATCGGTTTACTAAAAGATCCGGTCTTTTTATACAGATCCGGTTACAATGGAAAATCAAATAAGAAGTAAGAAAGATTTACAACTTTTAAAGTTTCCTTGTTGTCAGACGAATCGCAGATCCCTGTTTGCGTGTCTCTTGCTTTGTGGTTCTTGCCTGCGCCGGGGTGTTTGCCGTGGACGACCGCGCGCGATTCTGGATCCGGGTCGGATCGTAACTACTGCATACATCGGGTATTATTCACGAATGAGAAATAATAGCCGGAGGGCATTGAGTTCACCTCAAGGATAACAATTCCTAAAGCTGGGATCTAAGACCAAAAAGGGCTAGATCGCGAGTTCTCTAACGCCGTAGACTGGAGCGTCCTCTCGAACTCTCTCGTGCTTATTTGGCGTGACGTGTCGGCGAGCACTGATCAGATCCTGGATGACAAGTCTGAAGTCCCAAAGCTTGAATCTATTTGGATTCTGTCTTCAAGAGTCAGCGAAGGGTTCGCCTCTTCAAATTTCCACCCCCTCACATGAACCAGAGACCTAGCCTATTTATAGGCCACCACTTTCTAGACGCAATTCTGTGCCTTAGGCACAGATCTGGGCCGGCCACCTCAGGTGGCTCGGACTTCTGTGCCGGCCACCTTGGGGTGCTCGGCCACCGGGCCACACCCAAGGTGGCTCGCTTGGGCGCGAGCCACTGAGGGTGGCTCGGCTTGAGGCGAGCCACCGTAGCTGGTGCCGGACCTTCGGCCTGAGCCTCTCTAGGTGGTGGTTTTTTTTGCGTGTTTTCTGTTGGTTCTGTCCGTTGATTAATGATTATACTTAAGGTCTCTGATTTGATGATTCTGATTGGCACGTAAATGTGGATTCCTAGAATTTGAGCGAGCAAAGCCGCTCTCCTGAGTTGGAGTTCGCGAAACCGATTCTTCGATTCGATCGTCCGATCGTGTCGATAGGTCCGTCTCGGTGGTGACTCGTTGACTCTTCGACACACTTTGGCTTGGATCCCGGCACGCGAACTGCGATTATTCCGTTCTTGTCAAGTTCAGTCTATCTTCGAGTCGCCCATGTAGAACGTGTACAACATGATCGTATTTTGGTCGGTTCGTGCCTGGAGCTGTAAAAGCCAAAAATGTGTATCCTATAAAAGCACATTTTAATGCCTACATATTTATCGGGTTTCGGTTTGGTTCGTGTTCTCTTTCGCTCTGTGGGGTTGGGTTGCCGTGCGTCATGCACCTGACGTACACCTGTTTTCTCTGGTGTACGTCAGACTTAGAGGAAGAACAGGTTCAGCTGGGAAATCATTAGGAGCTAGAGGATTCTCAGCAGGAGTGCCTAGCGGATGGAGCAGAAGAAGAAGCTGAAGCTTAGTTTTGGTCCCTCCAGTTATTCGATGGTCTTAGCTTACTTTTGTAGTTCTTTCTATCTTTTCGCCTGATTGATGTATTTTGTATCTCTTCAGTATTCATTTGTTCAGATTTGTATAATGGTATGTTTGACCCGTATTTTATGTCTCGGATGTTACCCCATTTGTGATATGATATTTCTTTATTCTGAGTTTGTCTATTATATTCTTGCTGATTGTGATCGGGGACCTGTGACTTCGCATATTTCCAGACGCTTAGCGTATTGGATTGAGAAGAAAAGAAAAGAGAAAAAAAAAGTAGAGTATATTTCTTCTCAATCTAATACGTCGCGGGCTTGTTCACGTTCCGGTTCCCGTGTATTTTGGGAAGCGGGGCGTGACATAATCCTTTTTGTCCCCAAGCACAAAAAATGACCAAAAGAATTAAAATGAACTAACCTAATGGATTGAAAATTTTTAACCCTTCGGATTGACAAATGAGCTAACTATGTTAACTATCCTCCTTAATGTCTCCTCTTCATCCCTTTGCCAAACAAAGCAATATTTTGTTTTGTCAAAAATAGAAAGTTGGGGGGTCTGCTAGAGAAAAAGGAATAACACATAGGTGGTTTTTAAACTATGCTTTGGTTTGGAAACAACGTTAGTATTCATTTCAAAAAAATATTAACTCCTTATTTTCATCTAAGGTAGTTTTGTAGTCACGAGTTGTCCCTTGCATTGAAAAGAAAGGCCTAGCCTTTCCATTTCGAAGAAAGACGTTACTCTTTTCTAATACAAAATCCGTTTCATTGAATATTACTGAAACATTCCTTATTCGCCAAAGATAGTATCTCTGTTTTTTTTCCACCAAAGATAGTATCTCTAATTTATGAATTGAAATTTAAAATTTCAAGATTTTGTGATTTGCATACCGATTAGAACTCCCATCTTTCTCTTTAAATATAAAAATTATAACCCTCTCAATCTTCACCATAGCTAGATTCAGGAGTTATGATAAAGTTTGATCGTAATAATATTATGTTTTGTATTTATATTTTAAATTACCCTTCGTAGGTGGAGTGTTGTTTTAAGTTTTTATTGTCCAAATTTTATCTAAAATTTTCTTAAATACTTGCTTGTCTAGTGAGACTTAAATTTGGGTTACTCATAATAAGTTAAAATCACTTCCATTGTGTCAAAATTACAATGTTAATAATGATGATTGTGAGTTATAATTTTATTTATATTGGACTTATTTGGACTTTAATACTCAAAATTTCCACCCTCTTTAACTTTGAATGTTGAAGTTCGATTTTGATAATTCGACATTCCAAAACCTTAACTATATTCCTCAGATTTCCCAAAAGAAAAAGAAAAGCTGAAAACTAATAAGAGATTTTGCTTCTCATTCACTTTCCTATGCTATGTTTATATTCTTGAACAAAAATAACATCAATATTTTCACACTTTGGGGTATCAAATGGTCGAAATAGAAGTTCAGAACAATACAGTTTAAGAAGAGTGAAAAACATTTTGGGATATTAAAGTGCAAATAACCCTGTAACATTCTAACAAGTATTTCACCAAAACAAGAAACACTTAAAGCTCAGTGACCTGATCCAGCCCCATTTAAAACAAGAGCTTTGCTACAGGGACCCAAAATATGGGACCAATAGAGGGGACAAGTGAGGTGTTCCCCTCCTATTGGATAATGAGTTGGCCATCAATGATGGCCAACTCATTATCCAATAGGAGGGGAACACCTCACTTGTCCCCTCTATTGGTCCCATATTTTGGGTCATTGAGGAATTTTTCTTAAAACAAAAAGTTCAGCTACAGAATTGTGCCCAGAGCCCTAAACCAAGGCCTAATAAAGTCAAAACCCCTTATAGTTACCGTTGCAAAACCGGGCCCCACTCCTCTCTTTCTTCTCCTACTTCTTCCTCCTCTCTCTCTTTCTCTCAGCTATGTCTCCGGAGATCAAATCCTCTTCTCTTTCCTTCAAGAAACTGATGGGTTTTGGTTCTTTCCTCTTCCGCAGAGGCTTCAACTCCTCAAAATGGTATCTTTCCTTGTTTTTTCTTCATTTCTTTCTCTTTTGGGAAATGGGTTTCTAAAAAAGGAAGTTTTTTTGGTAGCAAAACTGAGGCGAAGCTGGCGACGGCGAGGATAAAGCTCTTGAGGAACAAGAGAGAGGTTCAGGTTCGCCAGATGAGGCGCGATCTCTCCATGCTCCTGCAGTCTGGACGCGATGACACTGCGAGGATCAGGGTAAGTGATCTTTCTTGTTTTTGATAAAAAAAGATTGAATTTTAAAATTTTAGAGTCAATTATGATTTTAAAGTTCTAAAATAACGGAATTAAGATAGTAAAGAAAGAGTCTTTACACAAAATTTCAGCAACAACATATGATTTTAGTGGGAATAATTTTTTTGCCTTAGTATCCCACAAATTTTTGGGGGACGCCGTCATGGGGCTTTCTGGATTTTTCAAACTCATTGCCGGTTAAGTGAAAAACACCCAAACCAGTATCGGGATTATCACAAAACCCCCTTTAACTTTCAGATTTTATAAAAAAAACCTCTTTTAAGTTTTAGATTTTATCAGAAAACCCCCTAATTTAGGGGGTTTTCTAATAAAATCACAAAGTTAGGGGGCTTTTTTTTTTTTTTTTTTTTTTGGGGGGGGGGGGGGGGGGGGGGGGGGGGGGGGTTTAT